AAAGGCATACAGATTAAATTTTGGGCATTCATTTCCTATACAAGAAGCCTCAGCAAACCATGCCTCCTGTTTTTCAGCCTTGCTCAACTGAGTGCATTTTGTGTGGCTTATCTGCCAGTACCAAGAGACTACACTTCTTCCTTATGCATTGGGAGGCAAGTTCTGCCCAGCTGCCAGCTGTCAGGGACAACTGACACTCAGGGTCTTTATAATGCCCATTGTGGGGCTCAGGAACAATTGCTTCTCTAGGTTCAGTATCCTACTTGGCTATACAAGATCTACATGTGTGGCCCATTGCCTCTAAGCTGCATCCTCCCTGCTAATATACGTGGTGTATAGGTGGGGTGTCTGGGGAGTCTCTGGATCCTGCGTCTTCTGTGGAGATAAAAAGCACTGCTTGGAGAAAGGCTCTCCCCCAAAACCATACTTTGTCTCCACTTGCAGCAGAATGACTTCAACTGTTTTTCCTGATCATATACTGGCACACACACATCTAGGCAGCTCTGAGCTATCAGCCAGCGCTGGGGGCTGGGGAAGTTCACTCACCACCGCTGGAGAGGTAGCTGGCCAAGCCCTGGTAGGTCATGTACATTTTTGCTGGGGTGGTTGGGTCAGGTACTGTGTACTGAGCAGCCATGTCAGCGCAGATCACCCAGAACCTGCAATGAGATCCGTGAGACTGAAGGCAAAATCCTATAGCATCTGAGCTTCAGATGGGCATCCCTCTCTCAGGAGTTGGTCAAGAACCAGGCACTGGTTCAGCACTACTGCCTCAGGCAGGAACATTGCCTTTCTTAATGCAAAGCTTGTCATTAAGTGATGCAAACCTGTGACATCCCCCCATCATGACAGCATTGCTGCTGTCTGGCTGACCCCTCTGCTCTGCAGCTGCACTGTGGCTGGGGCAGTGTCCTGACCCTCCGTCACCTCAGCAGGCTTTTTACCACCCACACAAAACGGTGGACGTCGCTACCTGGCTCCCTGCAGACAGTCTGCAGAGAGAGCTGGGCTATGTCCAGCCCTGTTTGGGCTCATGTGCTGTGTTCCTGGGCAGCGGTGGGGAGCTGGCTCTCCTCTCTTACTCTTCGTAGCCGTACTGGCAGAGGGATTTCTGTTACAAGCACGGAAATACAGCCACTCTGCAGTCCAAGCTGGTGAAAGGCCTTTGCACAGGCTTTGGGAACCCTGTAGGTGCCTGTTCAGGCATCACAATAGCATCCCAGAGTTAACCATGTGTTTTCCTCAGAAGTCCATCCAACACTGTGCTGGAAAATCTGTGAAAGTAATGCTCACTTGCACTCCCCTCCTTCCCCTGCAGCTCTCAGTGAAATGAGAGCTGTCCTGCCCTCACAGCCCCACAGCCTTCAGTTAGCTCCTATTCCTTGGCTGTGATTTGTCTACTTAACTGCTCCATCATTCAGAATTTGGCTTTATAATTTACTTTACGCAGTAGTTGTGTGATGAACCCAGATCGGAGCCCAGCTAAGAAGTAACCCAGGACTCCAAAGTGTCTAGCCTCTGGCTTCTAATATATTGCTTTGACTGAGTTCCCCTTTTTGATTGTGTTGTGTGCTCAGGATAGATTGCTAACTATGTCCTCCTCCTCTAGTACCTCATGGCATCAGCTCAAGCTGGAAGTCAAAGGTGCTCACCCAAAAAGCTTCACTCGGCCTTTGGAAGACGCTGTCATTGTGCCATCTTCCTCCACAGTGTACTCAGCAGAGATGTTGTCCTGAAGGAAAAGGCCTTCTGGATCCTTCTTGGCCAGGGCGTACCATTTCCCTGCATACTAACATGAAAAACTATTAGTATCTGGAGTCGTCACCATGGCAAGGTTACTACAAAAGCATTTTTGTGAACAGAGTGCCCTTCTAACTGCTCATTGCCTGGCCTGTGGAAGAGGTCAACATTTGGGTAGATACATAGCACACAGGTCCTTCTACTTAGTCTGGTGATCCCCTGCCTCTCTGCCAGGAGGGGTGGATCTGGCAGCTCTGCACTTCTGGGTGCATGTGCTTGTCATGTGAGACATCTCTGCCACAGTCACCCCACACCAAGAGCTTCTCCCACCCTGAGGTGCCCGCTGGGACTCAGGCTGGTTCTTCCCTGTTCCTATTCAAGCCCCTGCTTTTCCGTGGAAGATGGCATCAGTTTCACCAATTTGCAGCCACAAAGACCTAAGCAAGCTGGCTGGAGACATTCTTGTGTCTGCCAGGGGCCACAGGTGATCTTTGATGGTGAAAAGCGTCTACCGGAGAAGCAGAAAGTGGTGAGTCTGTGCACTATGAAGAGGAAAGGATGTGTTGGGGAGACTAGAAGCAGGGGAAAATGAGGTAAGGAAAAGATGAGTCCCTAAAAATGTACAAGCAGCATCTATTAAAACAAGAACAAGGTCTAAACAGGTGACTGATAGTTAGGAAGGCCCTCAAAAGTTAACATTGTTAGTAGAAATGTTGAGGAAAACAGAACTTATTTCTGTTAAATTTGATTCTTCAATGGAGCTAATGAGATCTGTTCAGCAATTTACATGCTTAAGCCTGAAGCAGAGTCCATAATTCCCACATACAGGACCCTAAGAAAAACTTCTTAGAACTGAGATATTCCCAAAGCTTTCCCCAGAAATGAGTTTGCTTCCAGCAAAGCCAATCTTGTACAAAGTGCTGGCCCCATCCCAGCTGCAGCTGGAAGTTACGCTTGCTGAGGAACAGTCAAAATAGTCACTGGTACACCTGTGTGGATCTTTCCAACATCAAGTTAGCCCTAATTCCCATCTCAGTGGTGGGCAGATTAAACACTGTGTTTAAACAAGAGTCAGTCCCTGTTCAGGATACCCAGCTAGATGCATTTTCAGTTGGCCGCTATCCACAAGAATGGTTGATGGTGGACCTAAGTCCCTCAGGGCATGTGTTTGGCCTTTCTCTCTGAAGGGGAACTAAATTGTTTCATTCACAGGAAGCACAGAAAGGTAAGCTCTGTACCCAGCTTTGAGTTAACAAAATACAACTAACTGAATAGCATCCCCAGATTCAAAGCTGGTTTTACCATAAAGCTCAGAAGGTTCAACAGTAGTGAGAAAAGCAAACTATGGGAACAGTGCCTGAGACACAGCATACAAAAGAAGTTAACATCCTGGTAAGGAACCCCCTTTGGCTTAACACAACTCATAACCTGGAAAAACAGTTTATATATGAAGCTTTATCATACATACTGTTAAAGTAAGCATAATTACCCTTTTTGGATCAAAATTGTCTTTCACAGAGAAAGACTCCACTGCACAGGTCTGAGCTAGGCTATATTCAACAGTGGAGAAGATTGAGGCCAGGAAGACATACTGTGCGTATTTCATTCTGCAAGACAAAAGCAAACAGGGAGTTGTATTTCATGCAGTAGGTGAAGGCAGCGAGTACTGTGCCCACAGATACGTTCCTCTCATTTTACAACTAGTTTGTTTCCACACTAAGCAGACCACAGCGACTCCACTGAGAAACCACTGGGTCATTGTCATGCCTAAATCCAGCCAAAAATGAGCCTCAATGGCAATTACTTTGCAAGAGTATTTTCCTTGCCAGTAGCAGTATTGTAGTTCTTGCTGTTTTTACATTTTAAATCAAACCAGAGTCTGGATAGGGTTGGTAAGAATTTATAAAAATTTGAATTTTATTTTTCACAAGGAGAATAATGTTCTGATGAGCTCTGGTAAAGCACCGTATGTTTTTTCCAATTATTTTGTAGTGCCACTTTGTTTTCAAGCCAACAAAGCGGTGTTCTTTGTGGCCAGTTCTCATCGCTGAAACAGGCTCTTCCTGGCTGCCTGCTCTAATGGCAAAACACATCTCGGTATTGTCTGCGCTCAGACCATTCCCTTTATGTACATACAAGACAAATAAGTCCATTTCTGAAGGCTTGATCTGACATCACAGCACAGCCACAAGGTGGCCATGGCTTTGTCTCCTTTGGTATCCCAGCTCATCTGTGTCCCAGCATATTTGTTTCTCATACTTTGGGAAGAGAGCACCTGCATATTATACATTCTTGCAAAGTATTTGACCCTGAATACCTGTTCAGATGTCAAGACAAACCAGATAGCTTAAACTTGCCTGGAGCACCCATGATGAGCTATCAACCCAGGACTTCCAAACACCCGAGCAGCTACTCTGTTCCCAGCTGCTGCAATGCAAGCTGCACTTCCCTACTGCACAAGATGCTAGCCTGGCCCAGCTCTGCTGAAGAGAGACCTACCTGTTAGGGAAGAGGTGTTGGAGATCCCCAAGACTACTCCGCTTCAGGCTTTGGGCTGCAGTCAGCAGGCGAGTTTGGTTCTATTGCCCTCCAGCTGCCTTTAAATAACGAATCTGCAAAGTCACTAATTGGTTATTTTTGCTCGTGTGCCTGAATAAAACGCTTAATCTTGGATAATCCATTATGTAAAAACCAGCTCTAATCCTCACACTGGTGGGTCTGACTGCTCTGCTAATGCAAACGCCGCTTTTACATAATGGAAAAAGCTGCCCAGAAAGCTAATAAGTCTGCTGGTGTGATTGTACCGCACCTTTGTCTCACTGAAGTCTTTCTGCATCTAACACGTGTTAGGAGAATAATCACAGAGCATTAACCAGCTTATCTTGCCAACATTTGCAGTTACATAAATACTACAGTTCTCTCCCTCCCAAGATGGTCTTCCTGTAAGCCTTCCATGGATGCCATAAAGCACAAAGGACGAGAAGGTGGAAATGGCTAGGAAAAACAGCAAACTGCCTGCCATTCTTACTGTTTCCCCACGTGCCCAAAGAATTTCCCCAACCGCAAAGCCTGCCCATGTACTCCGTCTACCCACGCTCACCTGGGAGGTTTAAGTCTTCAGAGGCTCGTTTGGGAGCTGCCAGCACCAGCAGTTAAGTCTCCCACTGGACTCCTAGGTACGGGGAAGCCTTGGACATACATACCCACTAGAGGTGACTCTATAGTTCCTACACAGTAAGCCCAGGGAGTCTTGAACCTTCTGGTACCAATCCAACAATCTGGACACTCAGAATAAGGCTGAAGTCTTCTGGATGTGTTGGACTTGCTGTAGAGGTCACTTAGCGCCACTTGCCCAGAATTTCCTGAAGAGAAGCATGCACACTCACCCTACAGTCAGTGTGAACCTTGTTGCCTTCCAGGCAGCTTCTTTAGGGTTGCCCATTATCTGGGAAAGACAGTCCTTGCTTGCTGCCAGAAGGAACTTTAATTTGGCCTCTGTGCAGCTTCAGCTTACACTTTAGAAGGAGGTGATGGTACTTTGCGTGCCATGTCTGGTGGAGGAGCTGAGCACACCCAGTTCACACCATCTGCATGGCTTCAAAGGCAACCTAGGAAAGTTCAAAGGGGAATGACCTGCTGGTAACTGGGCAGGAAGGTGAAAGCACTCAGCCCAGGATGGAGGTGACCAGGAGCAAGTGCCATAGCATGCCAGCCTCCACCTGATGGAGGGACTGGGTGCAGCCTATGTGCCCTGTCCAGCTATGGTAGGGTCATGCAACCACACCCTGTGCCCTTGGGTCTTTTAAAGTGCCTTTCTCTGGGGCGGGTGGAGCAGTTTGGAGCTGGACAATGTTACGCACAATGGCTTCTTCTCCCCGGGCATTTTGTCTGTTTAGCCAGGGACATCAGTCCTGGAGGTGTGGGGAGACGGCGCACACCCAGATGCTGTGATGAGGCACCAGCTGCTTTGGGTTCTGGACAATGTGGATCTACATTGTCCTGCCTGGACCCCTTGTCCTGGTTTACTAAAAAGACACCAAACAGCCATTTGCTGAACTAATCCTTCAGCTATGGCTGTCTGCTTACCATATGTACCGCGCTCCAGAGATGAGCAGGCTCCCTAAAAGGATTTCACAGGGCTGACAGCCTCCAGCATGAAGATAACCAGCTCTGTCAATTCAGGCACAGCTAGTTACCTATAGACTTGTGCACACACTTTGCTGCCTGTCTTCAGCTTCTCTGGAAAATGCTCCTTGTGCTTGTGTCTTCTTCACCAGCAGCATTGACTTCATTTAGAATTGAAAGGAAAATTGACAGAAAGTCCATTTCATTTCTTTAAAATGTCTGGCCACTTAAAGAATGACGTTAAAAATTCTTAAACTGCATTTTGAGGGCTAGAGGCCCACTAGATTTTCAAAGGGCTTTCCCCTGACGCCAAACCCAAGTGCAGAATTGTGCTTTTCCACCCTGACAGAGGGAATTGAGAGAGAACAAACCGCAGCATTTTCAGTAAATTAGAAAGGCTTCAAAACACTTATCACTTCATCTGTTTCCAACAAAACAGATTAGTTTATGTCCATGTGAGACATAGGTGACACTTGAAGCCATGCTTAGGTGACCACTTAATCCCCTGGGGATTAGAGACATGCTAATAATAGCTAATCACAGCACAAGATTTTGGTTGGAGACCATAACATCTGTCACTACATTATTTGCTTTTTGGAGCAAGAAGAAAACAAAATCAACAAACCTTCATTTTCACAGCATTATGGTAGTTTGTGCTAGCCATAGGAAAAAAAAAAAAAGGAGACTTCCAAGCATTGAAGCATATTCCTGGGCCTATTATATTTGATGTAATGTGAAAGGGATCTAATGAAAATTAAAAGGTGCACTGCAGGGTCTGGTTGATCAGAGAAGATGTCCCAGACCAGGTCATCAAATTTGACTGCTTTTTAATAGAAGAAGTGGCCTGACCAATGAAAAACATACATTCAGTGTACTGGACTCAGCACAAGAGTAACTGGTAGTTTTAAAGGCCTGCAGTAAAAGAGGTATGCAAACAAGGTGATTAATCTTTTCTTCCACCCTATCCCATGAAATACTGTGGCAGCAGTTTTGGATTCTCTACCCCTAGCAGCCCCCATCCTTCTGCCTTATTATCGGAATAAGCATTGGGTAAACTGCTCTAGGAATTACTGCAACTGCACTGCCGGCTCAGATTTAGCACCATGTGCTAGCTCAGCAGCCGATGGCACAGTATGGGATCTCTAAATAGCCTCCTGCATCAGGCATTAAGTTCCCTCTTGTCCAGCAGGCAATCAACTTGTTTACTGCAGGATGCCACAGGGCTACAACGTGGAGATAGAATTTGAGTCGTCCTTGACAGCTACTGTAGTGGTTATTGCACTGTAAGTCAGGAGGATTTCCTGCTCTAGCTTCAGATCTTGTTTGGGCTGCTGAGGATTCAGGACTTCCTTCTGGGATGTCACATACATGTGGCTGCATTGCTGGAGGACCTGCATCATGGTCCTGGGTCTGCCAAGGACTGAGAGGACAGTGACAGCCTGCCAGTTTCACGAGGGCAGGAGGCAGGAGAAGTAAGGCCTTCCCACAGTGGCACACCATGTGAAGGCCGTTGGCCAAGAGATTGTAGGTTTCTGTGACTTGGGCTCAGAAATGCTGATCTTTTCCAGTGAGGAGAGTGATGCAATACAGATGGAAATCATTTGAAGTTTGTTCCTCTGTGGTTCAAGGGTAAGGTTCTTGGGTGTGTTACATAATTAGATAAAAAAGCACCATAAATCACTGCCTTGTGACTTTCCAGGCATCATTCAAATTCCTCACAGCTTTAAATGACATAAACTCAAAGACACCTTTCCCTTCTGAATTGTGATAGTGTCGTTCTCGTTACATGTGTTGACCGCCAGCTGGTAGAGATGGGGTTCACATGCTCCTGTGCACACAACACATCTCAGACTCAGACAGGCACACACGTCTCCACAGTCTGCAAGCAAAAACAGGAGGCTAGTCAAGGCACAGAGAAACTTCAGCTCCTCTGCTGTGACTAGTAGTGAGCCCCAAGGGGGAATGATTTTCTCAGGGCCATTGTCAATGGCTTGGTAGCAAATCTAAGTTACAGCTTCTCTCCCAAACCCTGCAGTGTCTTGCTGCCTTGGCAGCACAGGGGGAATGCAGAGCTGGCTAAGAGCTCTCCTGAAGTGGGGTTTCAACATACAGGAATCCGTTGTCTAAAGAGGCAGATCAGGTTTTGTGCCCTCTCCTGGCTTCTGCACAACTGTGTGTGGTCAGTGGTTGCAACTCAGTCAGCGAGCCGCTGGATTTCACTCTGCAAGCCATGACAGTGTCCCTAATGGCCTGTTGCTACCTTGTACCAAACACCATCCAGACCTGAGGCAACCTGATGAAAAAGAGATCCTTTTTGATCATCAAATAAAGAGGCAGCCATTTGCTTTGTTATTTTCTAGTATTTACTACCAGGATTACTGTTGACATATCTGTGTACATATCTAGTATTTACTACTACTGAACTGATCGATTTGCAGACGTTAGCAAGTTTATTCATTTTAGTTGCAACGTTTGTTTGAAGATACAGTATTTATCTTTTCATACCACTCCACCAGCTCCTGGAGGGCAGAGATCAGCCTTTGTGGCACAGGAAGCCTGGAGGACCTGCCTTTTCAAAATGGGTGAGGAGGGTGGCTTCTGCAAGCACAAGGGAAATTCAGCTGTCCGGGGCTGAGGTCTTTGCCCTAGAAGACCACTGTGGGATATTTCCATGGCCTGATCCTATTCTTCTCCCAGGAGAAGACAGGAGGAAGAGGTTTGTTCCTTTGAGGCATACAGTACCCCCTGGCACATTTTGCAGTGAGGTACCAGACTAGTGTTTATTTAATTCTTGGTGTTATTTCCAGGGTAAATTCAAAAAACAAGAGGGACAGAGGGTGTGTGAATACCCTTGAAGGTGTAAATCATGCATCTAGTATTCTAAGTCTCGTTCCTTTTCTGCTCATGCAACAGAAGCAGTTCAATGCCAAAATGAAGGAATAAATCTATAGGCTCTAACTTCTTTCAAGCCATGATGTAATGGCAAAACCTATGTCCTCCATTACATATTGCAGACAGTGCTGTGTCCAGGTTATTGCTCCTCCAGATTATTGCTCCAGATTACTCCAATGGGATATTTACAGCTCCTTACATGGCACGCATCTCAAGGTGCTTTACAACAGTGATACTGCTGGCACCGAGCTTGAGTGGTTCCAGATAAGCCAGGATGTCCATGCCAGCCCTGATGATGGATTTAAAAGCTAAAACCAGAAGCACAAATTACCAAAGCCAGGGGAATCTGTACGTGCATGCATCCCAAGGCCATTAGCCAGGCACCCGGCCTTAGTACACCTTAGAGAACAGCTTCCATCTGCAACAGGAGGTGGAAACAGACCGAGTAGGAAAGGTTCCCATCAGAGCACCTCTCTGCACTCCTAGGATAGGGTCCTTGTGAGAGTGAGGATGATGAGTGAGTCACAGAGCTAGCAAATA